GGGTCCTCTTCTATGGGGTCCACCACATTCAACCACTGTGTTTCTACAGTGGCTCAGAAGGGACAATCCCCTCTCTAAATAGGCCTTTTTTGCATTTTTAACAAGTTTTTGTGGCCATTGTAGTTAGGTTGTGTCTTCACCGCTACGTGCCACTGAGTCCTATACACCGGGCCTTTAAAGGTGCAGAAAATGTAAAATGATATTTCTGATAGTCCCACAGTCTGAAATGACCGGAATATATTCATTTATTAAAGGTCGTAGGATTTAATTACATTCAACGTTGTAGTAGCAGTTTGCAACCCCCTAGTTTCACTCTCTTTCCAAGTGCTAAGGAGAAACTACAATGGCCGTGAAATGTGAGGAAAAAAAACACCCTATCTAGAGCCAGTGTTTTGTTTGTCCTTTCTGGGCCACTGTAGAAACATGGTGGTTCAACATGGCGTACTCCATGGAACACAGATAGATTTAAAAAACAGCTCATTCTAAGGTAACGAAAACACAATTCTTATTTTCAGGTGATTATACACTAATGAAAAAATACCTATCAGCATTATATTCTATTTCTGACAATAGATCCTTCTCAATGTTACACACTGGACCTTTATAGTAATTTATAGTAAATAAGTTGGTCATTGCATCAGTGGTACCTGGACATTCTGCCGTTCGGGGACAGTATTGTGGTTGCTCCAGGCTACTTGACATGCAGAACATTTATGTTTGAATTTTCATATTTAGTATGCTTTATGTGTGATCTATCAGAACCATTAAGTTTTTATGTAATCACAGTGACATCATGTTGACATCATGTAATGCCTCTGCCTCCTTCTCAAATCTTTACACACACACACACACACACACACACACACACAGACAGAGGAAATCCTGCTGAGGTCCAGATCCAGTCAGTCCTTAATCAAAGTGCTTCCCTCCAGTGACAGCAGCTCACTTGTGATTCAGACAAGAGCTGCCACTGTAACTAAACGTGTGTGTGTGTGTGTGCTCAGGTGTCACTGTGTATTGTTGTCCATGTGGTTGACAGGTGATGACGACGCTCTGTAGGACGCTGGTAGGTTTGCACTCAGCAACTCCTGTTTATATTACTATCCCACGCATTAGTGGCACAATAGGAAGAGAGGGCTCTTAAAAATTCATGAGGACACATTGCATTAAGTTTTCATGAGTTCCTTTCACCGGCTCCCGTGAGACGGTTTTCCTGCTGCCTGCCGCAATAAAGCTGGGAAGTCCAGAAAAGAACATGGGTGGCTGAGGGGGAGAGGAGCACGCTGTACACCGTGAGGAGTGATCTTCACTCCAACACACCAAGGGCAATATGGAGCCTTTTGCTGTACAGTCAGGGTCACTCAGTGTGGTTTGGCAAGGTGTGGCCCTGACTATGCAACGCCTGGCCTGATGAGTCAAACTCTTAGGTAACTCTTTCTATGAAGGTCATGTCTATAATGCATTATAAGTACACTCATGAGACATTATAATGCATTTAAAAGGCTTTAGAACACTCAATAAATGGACATAATGTGTTATAAGTTCAGCATTCATAATGCTTTATACCTCCATGCCAAAGCCAGATACCTGTTTGCAACCTTTGCTGTTATAATATCATACAATAGCTAATAACCTTATACAGTGCTGTCATTTTACTTAATGCTCTCAAAGTCATGCTATAGCGTATTATTAATATTATTTGTGGGTCTTTTTGCCTTTATTGGCTAGGACAACTGAAGATAGACAGGAAAGGGGAGAAAGAGGGGATGACATGCAGCAAAGGGCCACAGGCCGGACTGTGGGGCACCAGCTCTACCAGGTGAGCTACCAGGACCCCCACTATAGCGTATTACTGATGTTTGCAATACATTATTCCATTTCAGAAACTAAAAATGTATAATCAGTTATGACACTTTATAGCAGTTCTCTATGTGTCTTTATAACTGGCTTAGGTTACGGTGGCTATCATTTGCTGTGTGACCCAGGACTCTTCTTTCTGAAATGGAATTATGTCTTATAATACTCTATAACAGGGGTCGCCAAAGTAAAAAAGTGTAAGACAACTTTTAAAATATACACAGCAGGCCTATTTCTCAGCATTTCATTTATGTTTATACTTTATGTGTGTGTTTTAAAGTTTAGATTATTATTTAAGATCTAAACTTCTAACTTCTAAAGACCTCAACACAAACTATATTCACAGAGCCTTCGCTCTCTGATAAACGAGCCTCATCCTGCTTTAGAAAAGTGCACATTAAAACTACCAAAGAACTGACAGAACAATGGCCAAGCTTCACAGGGAAAGAACGCGCCAAAAAAACACTATATTTGTCAAGTATTTATAATTGAATAAAAGATTGAATAAAATGAGAATTGTATAAAACAAATTGCTCTTTTGTGCTCTTTTTGCACAAACTTCCTGCAGTTATTGTGCTCACTATTTACAGTTTATCAGTTCTCAGATCTGTACTGTTATTGTTATACGTTAAAAATATTATATTAAATATCCATAAAATATGTCACATAGTCAGTTTATTCAATTATAGAAAAGGGCTCCCTTGACTTTGTGAGCTTTAAGTAGCAGCACACTTTACATTGAGTAATATGACAGCACTGTATAAGGTTATTAGCTATTGTATGATATTATAACAGCAAAGGTTGCAAACAGGTACCTGGCTTTGACATGGAGGTATAAAGCATTTTGAAAGTAATACTTAAATAATTATAAATATAATACTTATAATATATATATATATAATATATACTTATAATACTTCCACCACTTATAATACTTAACAAACCTTCTTATGAGTCATAAGTGATTATAAACATTCATTAAGAGTTTTATAAAGTGTTATTAATGCATTATAATGTCTTATGAATGTGCTTATTAGGCATTATAGACATGACCTTGATAGTGTTACCAAATCTTATTTAATCAAGTATAGGTGGAACTCATTGATTTTAATCTTGCACATCACAACTACCATTGATAAGTCTTGAGAAAACACTGTGCTGCAGCTTCCCACAGCACAAAAGACAAGGCCTTCAAAACCAGGTCAGACCTCCATTATGAAAGGGGGTTAGTTTACATTGCAGTCCCACACCTGTCCATACATGCCCAACGCCCTGTCTACTGTACATACAACCAGTGGTGGAATGTGACCAAGTACATTTACTCAAGAACAGTACTTCAGTTTGAGGGACTTGTATTGTACTTTTAAGTGTTTCCATTTCATGCAACATTATACTTCTACTCCAAATACATCTCATCTATTGTACCTTTTACTACATTTGTCTGACAGCTTGAGTTCCTTTCAGATTACAGTTTTTCACATTCCAGTGTCCAGTGAAAACCACGTATCTCCAGATGTGTTTATTTGGAATGTTTGTAATAAACTGAATGATGGACCTTTAAATACCCTACAAAGAGCTTTCATTTTTTCTTAATTCCGGCAGACCTTGTGGACAAAAGTGGTATGGCAGGCATTAAGAATAACTACATAGAAAGAGCCAATCATCTAGCGCACTGGTTCCCAACCTGGTGGTCCTGAACCCCACTAGTGTTAGGGTTGCCCATTCTCATTCTGTCGAATACAGACGCCAGCGGTGTTCAGTTAGCAATCTGCAACTTCCCCTCTAGATCCCACTAAATCCTACACACTGGTCCTTTAATTTATTAACATTTGCTGTTTTAGAAGACTAACTTACTTTTGCTGTTACCTCATTAAAAAGTGAAAAAGTTATTGATTAATATTGATTTACCATTGATAATGTCATTAATTAGAACTTCATAGAACCTTTTTAAAAGATCAAGCTAATTCTGAAAATTTAAAAGACAGATGGCTTCAAAAAGCAAACTGGTCGTGTTGTGACTGCTCTGTTGCTGTGTCTTTAATTCTAAATAGAGTTTGCAGCAGTTTTATTTACTTAACAGTTGTATTTATTTAAGGTTTTTAAATACAGATACAGTTCAGCGGAGCACACATGCTCTGTTACAGTAAAGCCATGTTAGCATTTAGACTGAAGAATACATACAATAATGTAGAACAGACATAAACACTACAGGATAATAAAAACTGTAATGATATAACACGGTGCAGTAAACTGATGCTCCTATTCTCTTTAGCTGTGTCTCCAAGAAAGGGAACTAGGCTACACAACAAAAGCTCAGATTGGGTTTCAAAACCTGTTCCGTCACTCTCAACCATTTCAGACCCAAAATATTGCTCAACAAGTTCACGTGTCTCTCACTTTAATTACCAGAGCCACAGAGAAGCCACTGGGTGACGGCCTTGTAGTGTGATTATCAATGTAGCAGACACACAATGAAGGTTGCAAACTGTACCTCTAAGTCAGTGCTTTTCAAGTGGGGTTTGGGGACCCCCAGGGGTTGTTGAGAGGGTTCTGGAGGGTGTAATTTATTTTCACTATAATTCCATTCATAAGTAACATAATGACTGAATGTATGAATATTTTGGTCGTGGGTTTCATACACTTACTTTAATAAAACATCTAAAAGCAAAACTCTATCACATGTGGGACCCAGAGGCAAAATATTGTCAAAAGAGGGTCCATGTTCTTGTCTAACTGACTGCTGCATACCTGTATACCTGCAGTCAGTCAGTGGGGATGGTAAACACCTTTTTGCTGTGAAAAGTAGAAGGCGAGATGATATGACTTCTGTATCATTTATTGATCGGTTTGTTCCTTGTCCTGTGTGAGGAGATTGATCTGTTGTTTAATTCCCTGACAAATTTTGTGAGGTTAAGTTTGTTTCCATAAATACATAAACACATGCGTTGAATATTTTTTGCCATATATTAATATATTTTTATTTATTTAATACTGTTAGCCAAAGAAAGAGACTGATCATACGAACCTTTAAAACAAATACTACAACACAACAGTTGAGGCCTCCGGGTTATGTTTTGTTTGTCCCACAGAACAGTCTGTCCTGATTGGCTCTAGCACGGACCAATGAAAGAGAAGAGCGCGAGGGGAAACATGGAGGATAAGAGGAACCAAAACGGTGCTGAAAAAGCGAACCAGGCAATTCAGAAAACACTATTAATGTATTAATGTCGGAAGGCTAATGGCTCAAACATCGACTTTCTCTTGAAGCGTTTTTAAACATTTAGCCAAATGTCTCTGAGTGCATCCTGTGAGTCGGTCTCTCAGAAAAGGACTCTGTCGAGCCTCCTCGGTGAGTTGACAGTATCAGCAGATACAGTCTGAAATGAACATACAGTTTCAAAATGGCATAACCCCTCCATTCTCCCTGTTTGTGTCATTAGGATTATGTCTGTATTGTCTCGATAAATACTGACTGACGTTTGTGGCGTTAAATTAACCACCTTCGACCATTAGCATCGATATATTAAATTGCCAACTTTCTAAGTGAAGTTTGGGTGGCTCTTTATAGAGAGCCGTCCATATTTACATTTCTTTTGACAACATAACCTACTAATATAGGTTAGTAGCCTGTAGATGCTATATGTATGTACAGGCTCGGGGAGTAACGGATTGCATGTAACTGAGTTACGCAGTCAGGATACAATAAAGGTGATAAGACAGACGTCATCATCTTACAGTTACATTTAGTAAAGATGGGGACTATTTAGCAGGATTACAATTTTAAAATAGCTTTTTTTTTTTAAATACACTGAGCAGAGGAAACAACATCTTTCCTGTTTCCTTTTTCTTTTCAACGGTTAAATTCTGTTTTCTTATAAATACTAAATTAAATACTTAGCATCAATACTTCTTATTGACATTTCTTTTCTCTTGTATATATTTAATGCTGAAGTAATCCAAAAGTAAATGAAAGTAATCAAGTTACATTACTTTAATATACTGACTACATTTTCAACAGGCAGTTAGTAATTGTAGTAGATTACATTTTTATAGCAACCCTGTGTAAGTAAATGCATCATCGGTTTAGGTTGGCTAACATTTAACAACTAGCTTAGTTTTTGCTACAACTTTAGTGCAGCAAAATAACAAATTCTATTCTGTTTGGCCAACTGGGTTGACAATACTGAAACTGTGTGGCGTATGAACTCCGAAGCATTATGTATTCTTCCTGCTGCTGAATTCCCAGCTGGTCGTGTGGTGAAGAGGCCGAAGCAGGAAGACGGTCAGCGGCTGCAGGAGGCGGCGATCCAGCTGTTGGAGCAGCAGCAGAACCTCTGCAGTCTGCTCAGGGAGGTCGGGGTGAGTGTGTGGACTGAACCTAATGGGCTGCAAAGCCAACCAACAAACATTAAACTGTCATAACAATGACTGTTATACTTATCTGCGGACTGAGAAAGAGGCACGTAACTGCAGGCACAAGCGGCCCAAATCAGATTTTTTTGCTGATATGTGACTCAGATCTGTTTTTTTCATGACAGTATGAACAGCACAAATCACATGATCTTTTCAATTCTGATTTAGGCCCCTTTTTAGACAAGGTCAGATTTTTTATTTTAGTCTGACCTCAGTGTGAACAGTCACAGACTTCACTCTAGTCTGACATTTGGCTGTGGGTCACTTCAGGACTGTGACCACACTGGAATCCGATATGGGCCTCATTTAAAAAGTTACGTGAACAGGTTGCCCGGTTAGCTCAGTCGGTAGCGGCCCAGGTTCGAATCTGACCTGCGGCCCTTTGCTGCGTGTCGTCCCCCCTCTCTACCCACCTTTCCTGTCTATCTTCGGCTGTCCCTATCTAATAAAAGACATGAAAAGGCCAAAAATATAACTTAAAAAAACAGCCAAACAAAAACAAATCCGAGCAATAAACCAGAATTGAGTAAACGTAGAGTAGTAGAGTAAAGTAGAGTAGTCAGTAGTCTTTAGCCAAAAGTGGCTCAGTGGATAAAAAGGAATTTGTAATCTTATGTATCTCTGTATGGAAAGATTTGCAGCTTCTACTGACCATTTTACAGCATTTACCCTGTGTGCCATGTGATTGGCTGTGGTAGAATATATTCGTGCAACTGAAGGTTGCTTTATAGCATACAACCAGCAATTTTATTGGAATAAATACTTCAGGGTGAATTATACGTACATGTGTGACACACTGCATAAGGATGGGAATCGAACAAGTTGGGTTGACGCTAACCGGTGAGCAGAATCGATAATTTGGCATTGGTATCAATAAAATTTTATCAGTTCTTATCCCTATCACACCTTTCACTAATATGCTATTAATGTATCTTTACTGTATTTGTTGGTAGAATCCAGACCTGTGCAACCTGTTCCGCACTCAGAATGGAGAGCAGAAACAGGCAGAGCAGGAAGTCATCTCATCTGCTGGTGCGGGTTCACTGCTAGGTGAGTGTTGGACACAAGGTCTCAGAAATAGCCTCTGTGCTCTACATCAGTTTTGCCAAAGTGAAGAAGGTCATGTGACCCACTGTGGCCCAGAGACACCTGCTGCTGTACACATTCATTACGAAATAAAGGACTTTAAAACCATGAAGAAAGAAAAGTGTGACACTGCAGACATTATCAGTGTTTGATGTGTATTAGGACTCTCACATAACCATTTCATGACATCCATCTTTTTCCTTTGTTTATCTCCTGGCATCAGTTTTCAGACGTGGCTTGCTTGCTTTTATACACCACACAGCAGACTTATGAAAATGGCCCCTACATTACTTAACTTTGACGCAAAGTAAACACTGTGAACTACAGGATGTGTTGTATTGTCTGTGGACAGTGTGTGAGCTGCTGCGTCAGGCCTCGCAGCTGGGTGTCCCTGCGGCAGCGCTGGCGGTGAAGATGGTGCTGGAGAGGCTGATGGAGATCACTGGATCCGAGGAAGTGAAGGAAGAAGGGGACGAAAGGAGAGTGCTGCTCACTTTCTCTCAGCGAGTAAGTGTCTGACAGTAGGAGTTGACCTTATATTTCTCTGTGGCACAATCCAAGATCAGTGTGATCAGTGTTCAGTATGTGTGTCTTTTAGTGTTTTGACAGTGTGTCATTGTGGTTGCGTGATATGCTAATGATCGTCACTGTGCCATACGCACCTGCCACTGTCTCCCTACCACTGCTCTCTCTTGCTCATTTACCTTCTATGTAGCTGTCTCTCTCTCTCTCTCTCTCTCTCTCTGTGTGCCTCTCTCTCTTGCCTTTGACACTGCACTGATGTATGTAGGGGAGTACAGCTAAGAGGAACTGTTCTTGTTGGGTTGTGGTGAGGAAATGACTGTGCCAGCTGACTCGACTCTATTTCCATGACAACAAAGTGTCCCTAAACAGTGTTTTTGCGTAGGTAATTCCTCTCTGTAAAAGTAAGTAAAGTAAAGTAAAAGTCTCTTTCTCTCTCTCTCTATCTTTTCATCTCTCTGTATCATTCCCCTCTGCTGTTTGTGGTTAGGGGAGGGCCAGGGGGTCCAGTGGAGTTAAGAATATGAGTGGTCATTGTTTTACAAAGTCCTGCTGTTGGGTATACTCCCCATAGGCAGTTTTAGCACTCAACTGACTAACTATGGCAATGACATATATATAGCTGTTGCCTCTGAGTGCATCTGTGTGACACAATGTAACAATGGTAACAATTTGTTATTTAATTTGGAAAGAAGTGAACAAAGAACAGAGCAGTATGCCAATATACAGGCTATGTAATTCCCCATTCCCTGAAGGCAAACCCATTGTACATCTTTTCAAGGGCAGATGAAGCAAATTGGTTGGAGAACAATGGTGAACAACAAAAAATAGTGGAGACTGCAACTATAAAGATAGATCTCAAGCATACATTTTTGAAAGTCTCTGTCAAATTAATGTATTGTCAGTAAGAGGAAATTCTTACTGAAGAGGAAGTTCTGAGAAACCATCAAGGCACATAATTTCTCACACATTTTTGATGTTCACGCCTGGGTTACACAGTTCCACCCTACAATACCAACAGTGGTAGGTGTTCTCAATCCTCAAATTGATACACATTGGGCCATAGACCTGTAATTAATAAGATTTAGTCCTAGGGATCCATCTCTAATAAGATTTAATAATTCCATAATTGTCTATACTGCAGAAACCCAGACCCCTGGTAGAGAACCCCTGGATCGTACCAGTTCAAGATACAAAAATCTGAGGAAATGCCAAAATACTTTAAGCATTTATAAGAGCAAACTAATGTAACAAAACTAATTGTTAAATTTTCAGCAACAGTTTTTGTTTCCAGCTCATAGAGGCAAGGTCATTTTCAGGTCTGAACACACTGTCCCAAGGCTCACTGACAGGCAGGGTATTGCATTAATTCACACTTCTAAACAATGAGGTGCTTTTCAGGCGTGGGGGGTGACAGAGAGCAGGCCTTCAGGGACTATAACGCTGTGTAAGGTGGCATGCCCACACAGGGACCTTGAAATTTACTAACATTAGAATGACCTATAAAAAGAAAACCTGTCTGTAAAAATGCCTATATGTGATTGATGAGATAAAATATGTGTTCAGTCTCTACTAGAACACAATTAACACTGGAAGTGTGATTCGTTTTTTTGACATAAGGTTATAAAATCCACTATACTCAAGACTTGGGTGTCATAAATCATGATTATCTTGGTAAAAATGAATGAAGACCATCAATCTGTCCATTCTTAGACAAATATGTCTGTGGGGCTCTTCCAGTGGCTGGCTC